ACTTTCGTGGATTGTATGACGATATTGGTCCTGTTGTCTGGTCTGATATATTTATATGCTCGGATATTAATATTGCAGTGGAAAAATTTTACTATAACATCTATAACGTTATTGGAAAAACATGTACCCAAATACTACTTATCGCCGTCGAAATTTCCTCTATGGTTTACTGAAAGCACTAAACGTATATTGAATATAAGGAGCACTACTTTAAGAAGTGGAAGAGATCTAAACAACTATCATATTACGATGAATATGTTAGGTTGCGTCGTTTATCCAAGGATGCAATAGATTCTGTTTATCATGCTTATCTCGTGAATACCGAAAATTGTAAATCCACCAACCCCACAAATTTCTGGCATTACGTGAATCAGAAATTAGTAGCTCTGAGAGCTGTGAACCCTCTGTCTTGTTTTCTGAAGTCTTCAATCCTGGACTTACAACTATCAATAACTGTAACCAGCAAGTCAATTGTCCTGGATCCTTCTACATTACTCCATTTTCTGTCGAGGAAGTAGAAATCTGTATGAAACGATTAAAGAATGACTTTACCACTGGCGACGACGGTCTCCCAAGTTTTATTATTAAAGATTGTGCACTCTTCCTCAGCAGACCTTAAAAACTAAAACTTTTCCTGCAATATGCAAAAAAAACTCGGATAACGCCGATTTTTAAAAAGGGAGACAGATTTAGTATTGAAAATTACCGACCTATTAGCATTTTGAACAATTGCTCGAAGGTCTTCGAGATATTGCTATACTCCAGAATGAGCTACTGTGTTCGCCCATATATATCTGATCATCAGCACGGATTTATGACTGGTCGTTCAACTATGACTAATTTAGCAGAGGTAACGCAGTTCATGGATAAACGGCAACAAGTTGATATAATTTGTACAGATTTTACAAAGACTATGCTATAATAGACTTTGCTATGTGAGCTACAACGGTTTTAAATCTGATACGTTCACTGCTGACTCTGGTGTTCCACAGGGTTCTAACCTGGGCCCCCTTCTATTCAATATTTGACGACTTGATTGTAATGTGCTTGCTTACGCCGATGACTTAAAGATATTCGCTCGTGTAACATCCCCTGAAGACTGTGTTATCTTACAGCGTAATCTGAACATTATCAGTTCCTCGTCACTACAGAATGGAATTGATCTTAATATAGCAAAATGCATCGTCGTATCTTGCACAAGGTGTAATAACCCAATAACGTTTAATTATTGTATAGAAGCAATACGCAGAGAACGCGCTATTCGAGATCTGGGTGTCTTATTCGATGACCAGTTGCAATTTAAAGACCATGTTAACGCTATAGTAAAGTCAGCCTCTGGTGCATTGAGTTTTATCATCAAACAATGTAATAAATTTAACAACGTAGCCGCACTAACAGTACTTTTCTATGCGTTTGTTCGTACAAAAAATATATATGGAATATGGTTCCCTGGTTTCTGCACCAGCTCATGCTCGAGAGAGTGCAGAAGAGGTTCTTAAAATACTTACATTTTAAAACAGTTGGTCAGTATCCGGAGCGAGGTATTAACTACATTGCGTTATTGGAAGAATTTAACTTTTCATCTTTGAGCAATCGTAGAGAAGATGCTAGTAGAAAATTTTTATCGAACACACTTCTTGCTCGAATTGGATTCATTATAAACGCAAATAATGAAGTTACCACTTAAACTATATATCCCTATTGTGACATATTATTATTATATTATATCGTAGTTAATTTTTGAAGTAAATTTTTATTAATTTTAATATTTTTTTTTAATTTATAAAAGATGAAAGAGATTTCAGGGCAAATAAAATTTATTTAAGGACGTTTTGCAAAAAAGTAAACCCTTTCACTTGGAAGGGATCGTCGGTCCATTATCGGTAGGATCTGGATGATGATGTTTGGGTGAAAGTAGCCCGAGGGTTTGGAGTTTTTTTTTGAGTTTCCGGTGAGGTCGGTTAAAAAGGAAATAAATAATTACAGAGACGAATATCGTCAGGAGACGACGACGGGAATACGTGGATGTGGACGCCGCAATGATTTATGGAAATGCGCGTCAAATTTTCGTAGATAAAAGTCATCAATTGTGAAAGGGACGACAAAAGGATTTTCGATCGAGACCGGGTGGGATTAGGAGCCTCTGAGGGAGGAAGAGCGTGTTTTCGAGGGTAAAGTGGAATCGGAAAGTAGGATATTTTCCTGGGAGAGAGAAGTTGCGTCCTGTCTTTGGTCCATTTATAAACATCCCGCTTGTCTGCATGCAAATCAGACAGTTAGGCCGGATTTTGATTGATCTATTCGTAAGATTGATTATGGCCGCGATCGCGCACAATGTCGGAGTACTTCTGCATTATGTCGGGAAAGTGCGCGCTATATTATATTTTTCCTTCGGATTCCCCCTTCGATTAATTTTCTATTTTCGCTCAAGTCGTCTTTCCGATGGCGCTGAGCCCGGAGCAGAACGAAGAGAACGTTTAATTAACGTACGAGAGAAGTACGACGGCGTTATTTTAAAGTGTCCGTCAAAATGGCGTGGAATCGATACGCCGTCGCTAGCGTATGATGGGCGAGGTAACCGTTGACAGTTCAATACTGCATTAATCCATTAATACACATCAACCTAACGATCTCGCAGATTGCGTTCGCCTGACCCGCCGTTGCGCAGATACCGATTCCCTCCAGTATCGAGCCCATCTCGTTTAGTTCAACCCAAAAAACTAGTTACTTTAGACTATACCATCTTCTCCGCTCCCAACGACACGTACAAAACCTTCAACTACTAATTGCATCGCTGTCTTACTCTCACTCCACACTCTACCTTAACAGTCAATGTTCTTAAAAGCCATTTTCCTACGTCATCTTATCGTGACCATACTCTCAATTAAAAAAAATTAAAAAAAAACCTTGAGTGGTCACCACTTCAACTTTTCGCATATATACGACACTGACGGAACAACAAAAATATCGTAACATCAATTAAAAATGGCATTAAGATTCGGATGAAATTTAATATCTAATGGTCTAACGGTTTCGTATCAAATTTCGTTTATTGATTACAACACATGCAATATGATTGATTCAATTTCAAGATGTTATATTTATTTGAAAAAGAACTATTTTCGATAACAATGTCAGGGTGTTTCATTTCCGACACGAGTTCTCGTGACAATAGACACTAAGTCTTAATTCGGGTCGCACCCAGTTCTCGAAGGTCTCCCCGAAAGAAAATGAGAAAAACCGGGTCGTAGGACGCCGCGGACGCTTCCGGTTTCGTGTCGCGGCGTATTAACGACCGTTGGCGTCGGCTTTTACTGAAATTGCGGCGCCGAGTTTATATTTAATAAACCGACGCTGAGTTCAATTTGCTACCGTAATTTTTGCGCGCCTTACCCTTAAATTGACGCGCAAATCCCTCGGCATTTCTTTCAATATCACGGGACCGCCAACGTAATTTATTTTTGTGTCGTCTCGCCAAAATATTACTTCGCGTTTCTCAAAATTAGTTCAACTTCACGACTTTTCTTCTAAATTAAAATTTTTAGAGGTACCGTTTACAACCAGATTTACTTCTTTATTCTTTTTATTTTCTTAAACCATCTTATATATATATAAAATATATAAAATATAAATATGTATAAATATATATAAAATATATATAAATATATAAAATATGTATAAATATATATAAAATATATATAAATATATAAAATATGTATAAATATATATAAAATATACATAAATATATAAAATATGTACAAATATATATAAAATATATACAATATGTATAAATATGTATAAAATATATATAAATATATAAAATATGTATAAATATATATAAAATATATATAAATATATAAAATATGTATAAATATATATAAAATATACATATATACAGTGAATATCACTTAAGATGCAATATATAAAAGTAGCTCTATAAAAGTAGTTTCTAGCTTTAGGTCTAATGTTAGTTCTGGTGACAGTGGTAGATACCGCTAGTTAGCATAAGATATCACTATGTTGCATATTTTTATTGAACTAACACTAGACCTAGAACTAGAAACATTCGGATTTAGCCGCACGTCTCTCAAGACGGCTAAACCCGAATGATTCTAGTTCTTGGTCTTGTGTTAGTTTTAGTGACAATCCTAGTGTAAAACTAGAACTAACACTATACCTAAAATCTAATTAATAGAATATCTATTTAATAGAATCTAACTAGAATCATTTGGGGTTAGCCGTCTTGAGAAACGTTCGGCTCTAGATATATTTAAATTTAAAAAAAATTTAGTTTTAGAGAAAATTTTTTTTTAATTTGTGTCTATTTTATATACAATATATAGGATCATGTATTGTTTATGTATTGAATCGAACAAAATAAAAAATAATAATAAACGTATGTGATATGTAAAATAAAGTAAATATTAGCATAATTGTAGATATGAGCTCGATGAAGTGAATTGTTTGCTGAAACATGCACATAGTGATATGAAATGGTAAAACAACCCTTATGTACATAAAATGACGCGCGTCGGAAGTGAACCAACGCAATTATCGAGGACGAACGATGAAAAACGTGCGGGATGACATGAGGGGGTAGCGGGTGGGTAGGGGATGTAAAAGAGTGGAATGGTAGGGTTTGCAAAATAAATTTTGCACCGTTATTGTCGCTCAGGCTGCGGCCGCGCGTAGGAAATCTGTATTAATCCGCATGCCGGGCATTATTAAACGATTTTCGAAACGTAACGAACGCTGCGGCCGGCGATTACGACCCCATATTGAAACCGCCCCCCTTCGGGGGGGCATTTCAACGGCAAATACACGGCTGCGGGCCACTCGAAATTCGGCGTAATCCCCGATAATAACTGCGCGTTTATGACATACCGGCCGAAGTGCAATTAGTTCGAATTACATCAACTCGGATGCGTGCCGCCCTGACAAACGACGACAACAACAATTTTATAAATGTGCTTTTCTTAAAATAATTATTCTTGTTACAGGCAATTCGTTGCACGATTCCCACTTGCAACTGCGAGTGCTTCGTCCCAGGAAAGAGACACTTGCGTTATTGCGAAACGTGCAAACACGGATGGGTACCCCACGGTAAGTTCAATTTGCCATCCTGCTCCCATAACCGATCGTCTCGGTGTTTATCTCCGTCTCGTTCTTTCAAGCGCGCGGCACGTTTTGAATTTCAACCGGGCGGCGCGGATATAAAAATCTATTTATTTCAGGTGAGACGTCGGGAAATATCGCGCCGCCTTAAAATATGGATGAACCGTTTATGCGGGTTGGCAATTTTGAAGAAGTGAAAGAAATCATAAGTTACGCCTTCGCATCCCCAAATTCCGGTCACGATTTAAACTAGAGTCGCCACCGCGCATATTCGATGTGGCCATATTTTAAGCTTCCGGTCAATTTCTTTATTTTATTGTCGAAACTTTTTCGCGTTTTACTATTTTTATTCTTGATAAAGTAAAATTTGTTATGTTATAATAATAAGGAGCAAAACCATAAGTTATTTATTTATTTTTTGCTTGTAAAAGATTTTAAAACTAGAATTAAAATAATTTAACTCTAGAATCCGGTTTGTATGTTGAGTTGTTGGGTCTGTGTGGGCAAACGGTGGTGGATAAGATAATAATTCGCGTTTAGCTAATTAGTTATTTACTGGGCTTTTTGTCCGTGCGGTAATAACAAGTTGTAGCGATCTATACTAGGGCGAGGTAAGTCGAGGATCGGCTCATTATAGTTCAGGCAAAGAAAGCTTTAATGTGTGTGTTCTCCGCGTAGCGTAACGACCGCCACACTAATTTCCATACACGCAATTTAGAGGCACTGTTATTACGAATTTTCGAGCACTACACGTAGTAGAAGCCGAGATCAAGGACCGCGCTTCACTTTGACGATTTCATCCCGCTTAAAAGCATCGATTATCGAGTGATCTCCGGCCCGTCCGGCCGACAAGCTATCTGCGAAACTGAACTGTCATGGTTGAGTTATCGATGGACGCGAATTTACATTCGTTTTCGAAACGGTTTACGACCGGCCCCGGTACCATCTATAGTCTAATGCGCTAGCTGACCACCGCCAGGGGGCAAACCGTATACAAAAGGGACGATGTCCCAAAACTATATTGTACCCTGGGGTGTTACATATCTTCCCGCGATGCAATATTACTTAGCCTCTATTCCCCAAACCCGCTCGTACGACAAATTGGGTATTCACATTCCAAAAACGACTACAGCGCCACTTGCAATCGTCAAAAATAATTGCCGTTAAGACGTAACCGGCGAGATTGATGGCCATTTAAAGGACCCTTAATGTGTCAAAACGTATCTCTCTACGAGGGTCCCGCGGAAAATAATTTATGGCGGAATAAATTGTATTCATTCCGTTGACATATGACAACGCTTTCGGAAGCGACATGTTCCGCTATCGGCCGCTCTTGATAAATTATCCTTAGCTCCCTAGCTCACGCTTACTTCTCCGCTCGCCTCTCGCATCCGTCTCTATCCATCCCGTTTACTTCTTATATTATAATCCCTTTAGTTTTCCATAACAACTACAACTTCACTTAAATGCTATAATTTCTGAGAATCACCTTGGGCGTTACTACAAATTACGTAGCCATAACAAAGATATTTTATATTGTAATGCTACTAAATCTTGTTAGTTTCAAATCTTTTATTATTTTCACAACAATCATTAAAAAAAAGAAATCTTACTAAATATAGAGTGTCTTAATATATACATAATATCACTCTTCATCTTGAATATTATTTGAATCTTGAATTTAAACGTTTTTCTGATCCATAAGGTGGTCCAATTCTTATTCTTTCAAAGTTTTGTGAATTGAGTAATTTTTTCATATAACTTTTTCTGCTATAGAACATCTTTATAACAAGAAGGAATCAGAACAGACTGGACTAGGTCTGTTCTGTCTCATTCCTTCTTGTGATCAGCTCTCCTGTCAGCATTTAGGCAGTCTTCCAACTGCGTTTGGACACTTGGTTCCTGGTCTTTGTGTTTTTGTCCATTCAGGCTCATCGTGGGTCTTCTATTACCAACGTCGCGTTTTCGTCCATCTCACCATGCCCTGGACTCTCAGATCTCTTATTATGTCCAATTTTCTCTTCCACCAATTTGATCAAATTTCCTCCGTGATGTCCTATACTTCTGATAACCAGTAAGATTCCAAAATCTTAGATTATTTATTTGATGCAACCAACTCGGTAAATTCTTGATCACAATACAGAAAGTTTAAAATAATATATGTAGTAACTTAATTTTGGAAAAAAAATGAATATAAGATGTGAAAAAGTGATGTCGTGATAAGAAGGTAGTTGGTAAAAGGAAGTTTTTGAAAGGTGGTATCGACGAAGAATCTGGTTAGATCGTCCAAGTTGCGGCACTGATCATCGGTTCGGTGAAGCGGCGACGTATAATTTGAAATTATGCAAATGATCGATTTCTAACTGAGCAAAAATCGGGGAAGCCTCGCCAAAATTTGCAAGCGGAATCCGCCTCGTCGCAATTTTGGAAATCGAAACGTCTGGCCGGTTCGGAACGGGGCCGAACGTTACGTGTCTCCCGGGCCCCGGTCCTCTACTTACGTATGGAAATGAAACCGACAATTATTCGTTTATGAGGAACGACTTCCCTTAATAATGTCCCAAGCACGGCATGTGCATAATGGTACGAAATTGGTCGGGGTCGCTTTAATTGTTTCGATCGACGCGCCACATCCTGAAATTACTCCCACTTGATTCCATTTTAATTGTACCTAATCTGCCTAACGACCGAGCCTTACCGCGATGCCACCACAAAACGTCGTCCCGTGAAAAATGGACCTCCACTCTGTCATAATTGAAATCGACATGACTTCGCTATGTTAATTGCGGCTCGTAATTAGACGGGCGATCAGAAAGTCAACATCTAGTATAATTTAGTTGCGGGTAATTAAAAAACCATTAGCCGAACGTATAACGTAATTCTCTGGTTTTTTCTTTTTTTTCTTTTTCGTCGCATCGTTGCCGGAGAGCATTGTTCATCGCTTCCAAACGTTGGACGCGCGATAATGGTGTTTTTGAATTTGGTCAACTTGAAATTTCTGTTTCCCCCGTTATCGAGTTACGTCTCGGATGATTGTTTGCGCAAGCTTACGCCTTAAACAAAGCGAACAGGGCGGTTAATCCGCGAGTTTAAATAAATTTAGCTTCAGCGGCTCCCCAAGTTTGTGGGGGACGGATTCTAAGACGTTGAATAAACCTACAACGGCAAACAATGTAATGAGATGCGAGGTTGGCAACCCCGTCGCGTCGCTTCTCAACAAAAACGATTCGTTCTTTCCGATAGAGGGCGTTGAGCTTGCGCAGTGTAATGGACATATCGTTTACGAAATAAGTTAATATCATCAACATATTTTCCTTGTATAATGAAACAATGTCGGGAGTCGCGTGCCGGTCGCGTGGCGTACGAGAAGGAAAAGGAAGAATAATTGTGATATATTAATTTACAACCGGGGGACTTCCCCGTAGACGCGCGGGATTTTAAATTAAATTAAAACCTCCCTATAGCGTTTATTAAATTAGACCAATTTAGCGTTTTTTTTACGATCTTTTTCTTATTAAACGAACTAATCCGACACCTAATTTGTAAATTATTGCTTACAAACGAAGCGGTTTGCGATAATTAAACCCGTCCCTGTTGACAGATAACACGGGGACCATATAAATAACGCGAGCGTGCTGCACCCAATTATCCATTTTGTCAACGGCGAGCTCTAAACGGGCGCGAAATATAAACACGTGTATAGGTGGCGTTCCGGTCGTGCATATTTAAGGACGCGAGGCACGAGGACCCCTCTTCGTCGTAAAACGCCTCGTCTGTTCTGCATGTGTTTACGCGACACGTATACAGTCTACAAATGAACCAATTTAGATCACTTCAAATATGCGCGTTGTAATTACTTTGGAAACCAGTCGCAATTTTCTTTCACTAAAATTACACGTTAAAAGTGAACACGATTTATTTCCACAAAGCATTCAAACAATTACATTTTAAGCCTTGCTTTGATTCCGATGAAATCATTCTTGTCGAACTGTCACTTTCTTGGACTTCTGGAGCTAGTTGAATTTTCTTGAAGTTAGTTGCAACAGAAAATATATTTGGATGAACTTCTTCCGTTATAACAGCTAATATATTTCGAGAAGCTAGTAGTCCACGATCCACATCTGGAATGTCTATCAAAATATTGTTACAGAGACTGCTGTAAATTTCTGGTTCGAATTCAAGGTGACATAAAGATATATCGGATGCCGGTACAGAAGTACATCCTAAATGAAAAAGTTCAGCATAATCAAAACAAGATGCTTCTTCATTATATTCCTTATGGTTTATTATTCTTCCATTACCAAAACTGATGATAAATTTTCATTGATGTCTTTCATGGTGTCTCTACGGTGAAATTTTGATTCTTTTTCAGTCGTTAAATTTTGAACTATATCACTTGGTAATCATGAATTCAGGAGTCCATTTTTTTATGTAATTCCAAACAAAGCTTCGTACGGGCTTCTCCAACTCACAACACGTTGTGGATGCTTGTAAACACTAAATCACTATGTTTCTGTAGAAAATCGTTTGTTATCCAATGAACTTATAAAACTTTGCATATTGTTGTTGTTTGCCCACACATCTGTAGTACACGAAATAACTACAGCTTCTGTAATTTGCATTTTAAGAACATTTTTGGTTCGGTTACTACATCAGTAATATATTTTCATATATATACATATCATATTGATATCTAAATTCGAGTGTAGATTACTGTTATGCATATTATGGATGTTTGAGGTGGAAGGGAAATGAATGTGTAGTTGGTTTTTGAGTAAAAGTCGATAGGTATGGCGAACAAAGGTTGGGATTTTGGGAGACAAAGTCCGAGGGTTGGGGTGTTTCCGATTGAAACGGCTTCAATTCGTGGGAGCCTTCATAGCAACAAACAAAACGACGAATGTAATGTCAACGGGCTGAAACAAAAAAGAGGGTATACAATGGGGATAGGCGGAATGAATGAAAAGGGCGCGTGTTTGTAGCCTTTT